ATGTAATAGGTCTCCTAGACTTGCAATGGTTGTGAAAGGAATTGACAATATGTAAGCTAAATTTGCAAAAAAAGACGTAAAGGATGAGGATAGAAGGATATCTGGAACGAAAAAGTACGAATGCCATGTCAAATTAAAGGGTAAGAAGCTAGCAACTGATGATGATTGAATATTGATGGTAATTATTGGAGTGCATAATCACACAGCAACAGAGCATTTGAAGGGTCATTCATTTGCTGATTGATTATCGTCAGATGAGACTTCGTTATTAAGAAAATAGCATTTCAACTTTTTTGGAATACAGATATTAGAAGTTATTTTAGGAATAATAGTGGACGAGAAAATAATCATTTCAATTTTTAACTTTTATAATGGATGAAATTATAATGTGAGTAAAAAAAAATAGAACATTGGAGATGGATCTAGCAGCTTTCTTAGATCAAATGTGCGAAGTTCAACTGAATTTATTTTTCCTTGCCATCTAACTTTTTCAATGATTTATCCACATTGAAGACAAAAATAAAAATAAAAATTAAAGCTTCCATTGAGGTAATTCTTAGCCTAAATCTTTTTCATCCAAAGGTAATCATAATTAATCTTACGCAAAAGGGCAAAGTGGCAAAAAGTTGTCAAGAAAATTGTGGCACTGGAAAAGATGGAGAGCAAGTGCTGCATACAAATTCCCACACTGTAATCAAACGATCAAGACAGCAACAAATCAACGAGGAACCTTCATAGCAAATTCTCCATATAGTCTCATCCAAAATCTCGTGGTTCATGTCCCTTTAGAATTGACTCTTTAACCGTCGCATGCATGCAAATTAGCAGAAAGCAACGAATGCTTATGCTTTTAGCAAGCAAACAACCAAAATTGTTTTGTTAATCCTTTTCTAGCTCATAATGCGTGTTGAGATTAGTATGCTTTAAGACTTGTTTGGAACTGGTTTTAAAATGATTGGTGCTTCTTGCATGAAGCAATAAAATGTTTTTCTAAAATTCACTTGCCATTTTACTAAAGTTTGAGTTTCAAGAATATTTTCATCAAAAACACTTTCAGCTATTTTAAAAATACTTTCAAACAAACTCGCTAACATGTCTAAAGCAACAATATAGCTAGTTCATTACTTTCTTTTCTTTAGGGTAATAATTATTCCATGGCATTTATGGCTTGAAGCTTGCTTCTTGACAATAGACTTGTTTTTCTTTACTACGGTACTTAATTAGTGATGTTATATACTGATTACAAATTTACAGTGACAGTTTTCTACTAGTAATTGCATCATATACAAGTTGGTGGTAACACGAAAAACCAGAAGAGATAGATAGACGAGCAAGACAGTGGGCTACACCGTTGGTTTGGCGGCGAACGTAGGTGCATGTATAAGACTTCAGAAAAGATGTGACGAGTAGGTTCCCACGGACTGGAATTGAAAGAGACGCAACTTGAAGAACATGGCAAAGAGCTTGAGTTGAAACAAAAGCAATCTGGTTTAAGGGTTCAATAACACAAAAAAAAAACATTTGGATTCACAAGAGAAGTTACAATACTGTTTCCATGGACTTCAAATGAAAGGATGGCAACTTGAAGAATGGGCCAAAGAGCTCGAGTTGAAACGAAAACAATTTTGATTCAATGGTTCAAGAAAGCCGGAAGCATTTGATTTCGCAACAGAAGTTGTTACATGAATGCTCCCAAGGACTTGAAGTGAAACAGAGGCAACTTAAAGAACAGGTCAAAGAGTATGAGTCAAATCAAAATGTTTTTGTTTCGATAATGCAACAACACCAACGACATTTGGATTCCAAAATGAAAATGGTTGCAAGAACATTCCCATGGACTCCAAATCAAAGGGAGGCAATTTGAAGAACACTGCAATTATTTTTGTTTATGTTATATATGCTTCTCTATCACTATCAGTGAGGACTGTGGAGTCTATTGTTTTTATGATTTGAGTGTCTGTTGTGTGATATTTCAAGGAGGTTCGAGGACCAATGAGATTTGGATAAACACATGAAGGTGCACAAAGGAAAAGGGAAAAAAATTCAAAGGAAAAAAAGTTTGCAAAAGTAGACAATTAGGGTATGTAATTGTCATATAATCTGATCGTTTTTATTGTCTTTTTAATGTATAATTTCTATTTTAATTGAGGAACAATATGGTAGTGGTATCAATTTTTTCTTAACATACATGCCTTCTTGTTTCTTCTTCTTCTTTTTTCTCCCTTACCTTAAATATTAGGACAACATAAAAGCAATTTATCCTAAAATCATAAATGAAAGCACTTCAATTTATTATCGCTCCTTCACTCCTTGTTGCCCCAAACTTTGGTGTTCAAATCCAATTCCAATATGAACCACGAGCTAGTAGTTCAGTGGTAAATGACGGATTACAAGACTTTCTTAAAACTAAAAAACTGGAGGTCTCCAGTTCGAAACCCGCTGCTGGTGTGGAAGCCAGACTTGTGGCCAGGGGAGGCTGAAATGCCTATGTGAGTCTTCCCAACCTCCGGAAATGGTGGATAACCGTGACTTGCCACCATTTGTCTTCCTTTAAAAAAAATTAAAAAAAAATCCACTTCCAACTTGTAGAAACATGCAACCCTTGGATAAGATCCACTTATTAAATGTGTTGCACTTCTTGTGCACCTTAGTGACTTGAAAGTCGGAGATAGAGTAGAGATGACTGTGATCAATGGTGAGTTGATAGATGAATGGGTGGTTGGGAGTGACGCCTAAGAGGAGAAAGGAAACGGAGATGGTCGAGAAGGACTGAGTCAAAGATGCGTGCCTTTAAGTCATGACGACACTGGAAATGGACGCTGGAAAGGTTCAAGAGGGAGGAGTGTGGTGGTGGATGGTGATGTCGGAGAAAGCTTCGAAGGTCCAGAGTCTAAGGTACTAAGGTCATCTCCAACTGATCCTGCCAGAGGGTTAAAACTAGCCCGAAATGGTATGAAAACTGTCTTTAACCGAGGGCTAGACCAAAGGGCACGTGGGCCCCACCAGGGCCAAAAATACCAAATCAGGCCAACCGGCTGGCCCAATCCATCCAGCCAGCCAGCCTCGGGCCGCCCCAATGTTTGAACTGCAGCACCTAGCTAACATCAGTGTGACGCAAGGTAGCCGTTGGATTTGATTTGATTTGATTTTTTTTGGACAAATTTAAAAAAAAAAAAATTATTTTCTTATAACTACCTAAGCCATTAAATAACCTCAATCTTAAACAACATTAAACAATATTAAACAACATGAAACTTAAACAACATTAAAAAAAACATTTAACAACATAAAACTTAAACGCCTACTCCATACTTCTTTTGGCCCAAAGATGTGCAACAAGATCCTATTATGGGTACTTCATATCTTGAATATATAAACAAGTGAGAAATAATGTAATATAATAATTGTTATCCATCATAGACAACACAAATGTATAAGCATCCGAACAATGAAGAATATCATTAAGCTTGAAAGAAATATTATTATGGGAGAGAGTGGAGGAGCCAATACGGTTAATGGGAAAACCCGTACTGCCAACAACACCACTGACGGAATCACCACCACGATAGTCATAAAACTAAGATAAAGTATTGAGATCATTGGTGATATGCGAGTTGGCCCCGAAATCAATGAGTCAAGGCATTGAGACGGGAAAAAGAAAGGCGACCTTTGTTGGTACCACACATATTGAGCCTCAGACCTTGACACATTGGGCCTCATTACCCAGCCCATAATTATGTAAAAGGAGAAGCCCCTTATTCTATAAAAGGGGACTCATCCCCCCTCACAAATCGGACTCTGTGAACCCAACAGAGGGCAATACCCTCACAAACACAACAACACTCTCGTCCTCAGGGGGACTCCCCTTGAACTTGTAATCCATACATACAGTTACAGAGAAACAATATCAACATCAGTGTGGATGTAGCCCAAATATTAGGGTGAACCACGATACATCTTGTGTTCTTTACTTTCTTGCAGATTCACGGTCGGATTTACGTTGTTCCAATACCTTCCAGTTTTGTGCATCAACATTTGGCGGCTTCTGTGGGAATCGACACAAAAAGCTATGTCAGTTCTCTGTCATTTTTTTCGTCTCACCACCGTGAAACCTCACCACAACTTCCACCGTGAATCTATAGAAACCCAGGAACCCAAAAGCTTTTCCAAAGAATCCATCTCCCCTTCAACTTCCTCACGGACAACGTCGTGCTCCACTGCAACATGGACGACAACAACAAATACCACAGCTTCCGCCGGAACTGCATCGAATCCCGCGTCAGCTTCCCCACCGAGTTCCCCTATGAGTTTGACTTGTCCGACTCCAACTCGGCCCTAAACTCCCCTATCGAGCCCATGGTGAGCTCTACCGAGACCGAGGAAGGCAACAACAGCAGTGACGAAGTATATGGTGATCCAGGGTGAACCCAGTGCTGTCATTCGAAGAAATAAGATGAGGAAGATGTGCCTTTGTCGGAACCCTAATCCTAAGCATCTCTGTTGCCTTCCACAACCTCTTCGTCGTCTCCTTCCACCCCTTGCACACCATCGCCGCCTACAACAGCCCCACCGGCGACAACCTTTTCAAAATCTCCCAAAGACAGCTCATTCTTGGTACTCCAAAGTGCAAGTCCAAGCAGGGTGCTCAGGTGTACCTCTGTGATTAGTGCACGCAAGATCAAACATCCACAGTGTATCTACTTCCTGTTGGGTGACCCGTCTCTGTCTCTGCTCTTCCATTCTTCCTTCCCCATTGATTTTCTGGTAAAGCTCCATAACAATGGAGAAGATGATCACTCTGAGATAGCTCTACCGCTCACTGTCCTGCAGATCTTATCGACTAGCCGTCGCCAACCAGAAGCTCCTACGCAACTCCCAACCCATCTACTATTCCGCCGCTGCTGCCCGAGCCCTCTTCAATTCCTCATCCTTAATCGCCAAGGACCTCTCTTCCGGATTTACTGGCTGCAATTGGGATCACTTGCCCGAGATCGTCATCCATGATGCGAAGGCGACATTGTTCCGAGAATACTGATGACCAAACTGGCAAAGAGGTTGTCACTAATGTTTTCCGGGCAGCGAAGGCTGTTGATGAGTTCGGCGGGATGATTACTAATTTAAAGATGAAACTTGATGACAACATTGGTGCGAGCGAAGAAAATGTCAAGCCCTTGTCAGATGAGTACGTGAATGCACTGAAGACCATTTACAATCGCTACATTACCTATTTGGATGCATTTGGGCTTGAGGAAACCTATTTACGGAAGAAGGTTGAGACAGAGTTGGGAACTAAGTTGATATACTTGAAGATGAGATGCAGTGGAATCAGTTCTGAGTGGGAAATGTGAACAGGGGGATAATTATTAACCAGCTCAGCTCTCAGGTGAACAGGGGGATAATCATCAACCAGCTCAGCTCCACCCCCAGCACAACTGTGAAGAAACCCACTTTTCTGAGAAAGCCACGAGAAAAGCAAAAAATAAGCTTCCTATTATTAATTCTATCATGATTCCTTTTGTCTGCCAGGTGGAGAGACAGAGAGGTGCGGTGGAAAAGAAAAGTAAAAGCAAGGAATAAAGGAAGGAAAGTAATGTCTGGAGATGGAGAAAAGCCGAGGAAGCATGGCACACCCATACCCACTGTCATTGATGAATAATTCATTAAGTTGTTTTTTGCAAACTGGAGCAATTATTGTATAATTATACTGATGTGTAAGAAAAAAAATACGTCTAGTACTCCAAAATTATTCGACAACCTTCCGCTATTATGACAAACCAGGTGATCAAAAGTACGTCCAGTACTCCAAAATTATTCGGCACCATGTCGCTATTATCACCAACCAGATGATCAAAAGTACATCCAGTACTCCAAAATTATTCGGCAGCCTGCCGTTATTATCACCAACCAGGTGATCAAAAGTACGTTCAATACTCCAAAATTATACATGAGCATCACTCATGTCAATCATGCATAAACATTCATAAGCATCACTCATGTCAATCATACATAAACATTCATAAACATTCATGAGCATCACTCATGTCAACATCCATGAGCATCACTCATGTCAATCAACATAAACATTCATGAGCATCACTCATATCAATCAGTTTTGAAAGCTTCACTTACAGAGCTCCAGCTTCAAAAGCTTCAGAGATCCAGCTTCGAAAGCTTCATTTACGAAGCTCCGACTTAAAAGCTTCATTTACAAAAGCTTCACTTTCAAAGCTTCACCTACAAAGCTTCAGTGCATGGTATACAAAGACCGCCTCCGAACAATCGCCACTTCGGCCCATACATGGATTAAATTTCAAGCCTCCAGCCAACAGACTTTATTGACTAAAGACTTGGGGGACTACACTATGTACCACACACTAACTGGGCCCCATGAAAAATACTTGGGGGACTTAGCCCATTATTTATGTACTGTGGAGCGAACCCTTATTTTATAAAAGGGACTCCATCACTTTCATTAGAGAGCACCCATTATTAATGTATTGAGGAGCAAACCCTTATTTTATAAAAGGGACTCCCTCACTTTCATTAGAGAGCACCAATTATTCATGTATTGAGGAGCGAGCCCTTATTCTATAAAAAAGACTCCCTCACCATCATTAGAGAAGCATCGCTGCCTGCTGAGCAACTACCTCGCCGCAAGCATCCCTTTTAGCCCATCACTTATGTATTGAGGAACGAGCCCTTATTATATAAAAAGGACTACCTCACCATCATTAGAGAGCATCGCTGCCTGCTGAGCAACCGCCTCGCCGCAAGCATCAACTCTAGCCCATCATTTATGTATTAAGGAGCGAGCCCTTATTCTATAAAAGGAACTCCCTCACTTTCAACGCCTCAAGCCGAGCCAACCAAGGCAACATAAGCCACAAGCCGAGCAGCCTCACAACATGTGCTACTTCTAGTTGAGCATCATTTCACATTGAGCACCGCCTCATATCGAGTATCAGTTCTAGACGACATCTAGTTACTTCGACCCACACATGGACTGAATTTCAAGTTTCCAGCCAAAAGACTCTTTTGACTGAAGACTTGGGGGATTACTATTGATACCACACATATTGGTCCTCAGACCTTGACACATTGGGCCTCATTACCCAGCCCATAATTATGTAAAAGGAGGAGCCCCTTATTCTATAAAAGGGGACTCCTCCCCCTTCACAAATCGGACTCTATGAACCCAACAGAGGGCAATACCCTCACAAACACAACAACATTCTCTTTCTCAGGGGGACTCCCCTTGAACTTGTAATCCATACATACAGTTACAGATAAACAATATCAACATCAGTGTGGACGTAGCCCAAACATTAGGGTGAACCACAATACATCTTGTGTTCTTTACTTTCTTGCAGATTCACGGTCGGATTTACGTTGTTCCAATACCTTCCGGTTTTGTGCATCAACAACCTTTATAAGCTAAATTGAGGTGTTGTGCACAAGCAAGGGCACCATGGCCAAAAGTATTGTAAATCTAGCAGCGAGGATATGAGGAACGGTGAGAAGAGGCTGGGCTAAAAAGCCCATAAGCGTTGTTAGAGCCACAGAAGCGAGGGTTATCGTGTTGAAGACGATCACCACCACGATCGCGAAACAGACGGTCGTGGAAACCACCAGTACCGCGATAGCCACTATAGCCACCACCACCATTGTTGCGAGGCCCATCATTATGAGGACGACCACCACCACGATCACCCCCATGAGAGAAACGGCCAGAGCTAAGATCATCGCCGCGATCAGAAAATGAGCGACCACGAGAGGCAGATGAGTCGATGGAGGCGACCATGACCGAGACGCTGGAGTCTGGCGGAGTATAAGGATTAGCAAGTTGAAGTTCAGCTAAAGAAGAAGAGCCTCAAGATCCGGAAGGGAGATGGGTATGTCACGAGCCTAAGCAACGACAATAGTATTCTCAAATTTGGGGCTGACATTGGACATGACAACCAGCATCATGTCATCGGTAGAAATAGGCGCTCCAGCAAAGGCCAATTGATCGGCAATACCATTGATCTTGTCAAGAAAGTCAGAAATTAAATAATCACCTCGCTTGGTCTGAAAGAAAACAGTACGAAGCTGAAGGATGCGACTTTGGTTCGTAGAAGCAAAACGTTGCTGAAGAGCAACCCAAACGTCACGAGCAGTAGCGGTGAGAGCCTGGTGACCAAGAAAGCCATTAATCCAGGAAAAGACAAGTTGGTCATTCTGAACCCATTCAACATACGCGGGGATGGGTTTAGTAGAAGCTTTGCGGGTATCGTCGAACAAGAACACCGAGGGGCAGAAGGAAGAACCATCAACAAAAGCCATTAATTGACGACTGTGAAGAATAGGAAGCACTTGAGCCAACCAAAGAGAATAGTTGGAAGAGTCAAGGTTGATGGTGATCGCATGAGAAATAGGGGGAAGACGTCAGAGGAATGAGTGGTCGAATTGGTGGAGACAGCCATGGAGAATGGTAGGGATGATCCGAGAAAAAAGGAGATAGTCACTGGCTCTGAGATACCATAAAAGATAACCCAAAGCAGTAGGAAATGCAGACAAAGCAGCAAAAGTAAGAAAAGGTAATTTAGCTCAATCCCTCGATACTTTATAGGGTGCATTATCATTGATTTAAATAGTGTACAATGACTTGATTTACAAGTATAATTAATATACAAATAAGACATAAAGGGAATGTTTTAATAATACAGGGAAATTTGGAAATCATGATGAAACAGGAAACAATCCCAAGAGATCATGAAGGTATCATCCTTTAGTTTGTGGCCCGTGAATGTATCATCCTATGACGCCTCATGTACTTATTTAAAGAGATATTACCAGTTCTTGGATTCAAAGGCAAATTAGGTCCATCATATATTTTTTCATGAACCCTCATTAACCTATTTGGATCCTCTTGGTCGTCATCAGACTGTCCATCAACATAGCCATCTCGCTCATCCTCCACAATCATGTTGTGTAATATGATGCATGACATCATGATGTAGTTTAATTTTTCTCGACTAAAATTCCCACAACCAATTACAGCTTGACACGTGACACTCGAAATCCTATCCGAAAAATTATTGAGATTTCTTGTCGACAAGAAATCTGCAAAGTTACTCACATATTGGCACGTGGCACTCAAAAGTCGAGACGTAAAATTATTGAGATTCCTTATCGACAATAAATCTGTAAAGTTACTCACATATCGACACGTGACACTCGAAATTCGTGACGTAAAATTATTGAGATTCCATCTCAAAAAATTATTGAGGTAGTTTAATTTAAGTAACCATATTAATTTAATTAAAATAATAAATTATGTTTGGTCTATGACCCTTTGGCCCCCTCGGTTGAAGATAATAAGAAATATTGCATGACACTGTTCATTAAAATATTAATTTCTTGGAGGATTATAGGGCTAAAATGAGCTATTTGGCTCTCCTTTGGTTGGAGATGGCCTAAAGTGTCAGTGAGGAAGTGAGGTGAGAGAGAGAACTGAGTTTTAAACGAACGGTTGAGATTCAATCTCAACCAAATTCAATGTCTATTATTAATTCAACTATATATAAAATTTAATCAAAATATATCAGTTTGGTACGAGATTACAGGGATATGGTACTGATTCCCATACCAAAATTTTCGTGTTTTTTGGTTTACCAAACTTCGGTATAGTTCAGTTTCGGAATTTATTGGTTTAGGTTTAGGTTTTTTTTAAGGTTGGTTCTGGGTTTTTGGGTTTTTTTTTTCCAGCCCTAAATCTGATTAGGAATCATTTTTCAAGCGAGAAAATATTTTTTGGGTGTTAACTTCTAATGCTTTGCAAAGAGCAAGATTTTTTTTTTTTTAAGGACAACTGGTAGCAAGCCACCGTTATCCATTAATTTCGGGAGCCGAGAAGACTCATAGAGACATTTCAGCATTATTCTGGCTACAAGTCTGATTTCCACACCAACAGCAGGTTTCGAACCCGAAATCTTTAGTTTTTAATTTTAAGAAAGTTCGTAATCCGTTTTTTATCATTGGACCACTAGCTCGTGGTTGAAAAGAGCAGGATTTTGGAAGGCGAGGTTTTGTGAGGTCGGGGATCTGATGAAACTTGGGGTTTGGGAGGGTGTGGCACGAAGGCAGCCATGTGGCACGACGACCGCACGTCGGGCATGATTTTTACTTACTCTACTCCCCAGAACTGCTCATTCCAAGTGTATGATCATCCACTTTTGTGGTTGTCGTAATCGTCTTTGGAAAAGGATCTTGGTCGGATTTTTTTGTAAGGATATTAGGTATTTTATGATCGTGATCGTTCATCGTATATTATGTAGTCAGAAATTATTTTAAAATTTAAAATTAAATATAAATAGTATCTAACAAAAATTGACTGCACGATATATAATGAACCGTCACGATCACAAAATCTTTAAGATCCTTAAGAAAAAGATCCGGGGAGGATCCTTTTCCATCGTCTTCCTCGTCGATGTCTGTTTGAGTGGTGGAGGCCGTACTGGCATAGTGTATTCCAAAAAAAAGAATCAATTGACAAATTGTTGGATGAGGCTAGCTAGTTGCATAGTGGGAGTAATTATCATCAAACAGAAACAAATTGACTAATATTGCTTTGGTTGAAATCCAAGCAAGCTTTAAAGTTAGTATCTAGTGTCTAACTAACGAATTGTTTGACAGGGGGAGAGGGAAAGGGGATAAGCTAGGATTCCACATTTGGTGGTGAGAGAGTGATGTGAAATAAATAGAGATCTCGTTTTTATGGTGAAAAGATAAAAAAGCAAATTTATGAACGAGATTGGGATAAGAAAATCAATTCTGATAGTCGTAAAGAGCTGCAATCTTATCTCGATAAGAAATAATCGATCATGACATAAGCCGATAATGAAGTTATTCTATTGGAGGCAATATTCCTTTTGAAACATTGATATTTCCTTGAACTCCTAAATGAGTGCTCAAAAGCGGTGGTGGAAAACCCCGAAAAATAGGGTCTCCCATGCTCTTAGGTCTACCAAATTTGCTTGATTAATGAGATAATCACAATACAAGAATGAGATTATCTACCACTAAATCGACGAATTTAAATGAAATTGAGAACTGAGAATTGAGACTTTAGATTGCTAGCAAGTGGATCATCAGAGTCCGAGAGACCATAGATATTTCAAAACGAAGATATTCCAAGTTCTTCAGTCTCTCTTTTTTCAGTCAACAAGTATACAGTTCCTCAATCTGATAAACAATTACATCGTAATAAGACCAGAAAACGATCTTAATTGTTCTTTCAGGTGAATCATATGGTCCAGAGTTCTGAAATCGAAAACGACATCCCGAATTCATGAACCAGGATGCAGTTTCCGACGGACTACAGCACATCTGTAATCTGCTCGCACCTGGTAATCCGATCCAACATTTTGATTCGCTAAAGCTCATCACCCAAGCCAGGCTGAGTCCGCCACGGAACGAGTTTAGATTTGTGCTGCTGCAGTTTCAGCTGAATTCACCTCTCCATCAACAGAAACAGTCGTGGCAGTCTCTTTCGCAAAACCATCGTCCCCCGCTGCCTGGACAGTGCCTTCAATTTCTGTCATGTTCTGCGGCATCTCGACTTTTTGATCCTTAGATACTTCAGGATCATTTACCTTCAGGTTTTCAGATGCGACCACATTGTCGGAAATAATAACTCCCTCAACAGCAGAAGGCATCTTATCAGGTAAGTTTACATCCTCCGCTGGCATCGCATGAACCTTTTCGGCATCAATGTCCATATCACCTTCTGGGGCTGTTGAAGCCTGTTCCTGCACACCATCCATTTGCTGAATTGTTGCTTCACCATCAGATGCACCACCGGGAACAGCTTTTCCAAGCTCATCTGAGGCAGTTACAGGATCAGGATTTTCAGTTGTCTGCAGAACAGTCACATCTGCTGCAGCCTCAGGCAACTCCAGATCAGAATTCCTCGCAGCAATTTCTTGTTTTTCTGCTTCTGCTCTGAGTTCATCCATGCGGTGCTGTACCCTTTCCACCTCGACTACAAGATCCCCATACTGCTTCTGTAGTTGCCGCTCAAGCTCCTTTTGATTCTGAACTTCCTCCCAGATATTATTTATCCTGTGTGTTGCCGCTAATCTTTCTTGCTTCTGTAAAGCTTTAAAGCACTCAAGTTCTTTTGCAGCGGTGTCAATCTGCTTAAACGTTTCCTCAATTTTTGGCCAGAGACCCTCTTTAGCCCGCATCTGGACAATAAAAAAAAGTGCAATTAGTTAATAATCTATAAATTTGGCCTAAAAAAAAGATGAAATGCAGCCAAAGATAATTGTTGGCTATTCTTCTTTGGGAAGTGATTGCAATTTTTCTCTTCTTGCACTCACCTTATATTTCTGGCCTTTGAATTGAATGAATCAGAGGAGAACCGAAGGACAGAAATAAAGGGCGTGTGCACATGGAGAAAAAGGGTGTGTGGATATCATTTCCCTTTTCTTTTTAGGAAATCTATATGTCAACGCTTTGGGTTCCGCGCACCATCAGATGGCGATGAATCTTATTCAATGCCAAAGGTTAAATATATGGAGTCCAATGTCCAGCATTATTTCTTTGAATAATTGTTTAAAGTACGAATCTTCCGTAGATTAGGAGAGGTTATAATTTTATAATTCAAGACTAATGCCTATGAACTTGCACAATGCTCAAATTTTCCAAAGTGCTGCAAAAATTTCTGTTAATTTACGGTTCTAAAATTTAGTAATATAAAGTCCCACTTTCACTCTCAAAGGGAACTAATGATGTTAGCTCAAGATCGAATAAAAACCCAAGAAATCAGCATAAAATTCAGTAAGTATACCTCATAACCATATGTGCGGACTTTAACCTTGTTCTCAATGCTTGCTGCCTTCTGGATATCATCATCCATCTTCCTCTTCACATTCTCAAACTCATTCTGTAAAGCTGCAAGCTTCTCCATATTTCCAGCAACACTTGATAGACCATAAGCTCCACGAGTAGGGAAGTACATGAGATCGTTCAGGCAAGTTTTGTGTGCTTCAAGAAATTCATCAAGGGATTCGTTTTCATGCCCCATTGCAACACGAAGAATTTCTGCATCTTCCTTTATCAATGAATCAGCCTGCATATAACATGGCAATCATCAAAAACATGGAGCTGTATAATCATTAGTCATGCTCAAAGGTAGTCTATAAATCAAAAGACATCAGGTCAAAATGTACAGACAAACAGTGGGCAAATGAATTAAACTGCGAAGAAAAAATCAGGAATTAGTCATGCTCACTCTCCCTCTCTCTCTCTCACTCTCACATAACACATCTGATATTCTGCACAGAATTGGGAAGAAAAATCAGACATTAGTCATGCTCACTCTCTCTCTCTCTCTCTCTCTCTCTCTCTCAACACATCAGATATTTCTGCATAGAATTGGGAAGAAAAATCTTTTATCATATAAAAAAAAAAAGGTCGTACCCAGTGCACAAGGCTCCCGCTTTACGCAGGGTCTGGGAGAGGTGAATGTCGGCTAGCCTTACCCCCATTTATGGAGAGGCTGCTCCCAAGTCTCGAACCCGAGACCTACCGCTCATGGGCGAAGGCACTTGCCATCGCACCAAGTGCGACCTCTAAAAATCTTTTATCATATATATGTTGAAAATGTATAAATATGAATTCATGTATTTTAACATATCAATATATCATCCTACCCATTGAAAACGTATTGCTTAAAAATGATGAGATGTTTGCCAACGCAGATACACGAAAATGAAAACAACATTTTCTGTACTCTATCATAGAAAATAAATTGAACAAACAAAGGCAGTGCCACCACACCAAGCATCTGTGTCCAGAATATAAAGGCGGATGCATATGAAAACAAGAAGACAAAAATGACCTCACGAAATCAGCAATTATAGAAAAAGAATAACACATAAGAGGAACTAAAAACATACATCTTTCAGTTCATCTTCTTCAAAATCTTCTATCACAGGGACAGTACTAGGTCCATTGGCACTGCGCTTGGAACCTTTCTTTTTTCGTTTGTCTACTTTCTCAGTAAGCGGATACTTGGCATTATCATGCTCTAGTAGGCTAAGAAGTTCTGCTTTAACCATTTCATCAGCCTGCTCAATATGAGTAGGAGGAACAAATGAACTCCTATCTCCATCTGCTTTTATCAAGGAATTTCTGATGAGTTCCAATGAGGCAGCAGGAGGTCTAGGGAGCTCCCTCTGCAATACTTTTGATCTCTTCCTAAGTAATGCTTGCTGGCGTGCTTCTTCCTCAGCCCTTTCTCTAGCTAGCCTATCAGACATGTCCTCTTCAATCTTCTCCTCAGGTTCTTCATTATCCTCTGGAGCTGGTTGTACGACAATTTGGTACTCATTCTTAGGCTGTGGTAAACTTCCAAAACCAAACTGCAAGTTTCTTCGCTGCTCCAGTTTTGCACTATTAGGTGTATCTATTTCTTCATTGATACGAAGCTCATCCCTAATGGGAGTCCCCTTTGGGGTCATGCCAAAAGAATCCCTTGATGGCGTCATGCCAATTCTAGGCGTAAGACCCGTTCTTGGAGTCAGGCCGGCACCTCCAGGAGTTGCAGAAGGAGTAAGCATCATATTTGGAGTTTGAATTTCCTTTTTTCTAGGAGTGACCCCAGAAAAATCTGATGGGTGCAACTCTGGATTATCTCCTCCTAATAATGGTGTCTGAGACTCTCTCAACCTGGCCAAATTTTCTGCTTCCATCATTATAGCATCACCCTTACCAGTAGGTGTTCTTTGAGGTGTTCGTGAAGGTGTCATTCCCAGCCTTGGTGTCTGGGAATAATTTGCAAGAAGAGCTCGAGTTGCACCACTACCTTCAGCAAATTCTTCAGCTGCAAGATCATTAGCATAACCCATCTTTGCAATTTCCTCCAACTCATTGTCCGAAATTTGGGGTGCAGGAAGCATCAGTTTTGATCTCTTCCTAACCGTTTCCGGATCATTCATCTTGTTGGCTTGTAGTATAGCTGATGGAGCATCCTGTCTTTGAGCAATTTTGTTCTTAGCAATATCTTGCTTTCTCAACTGCGCTTCCACATCAATCCTTCTCTTCCCCTCGAGTTCCTCAATAGTCGTAGGGAAGTTAGGCTGCTCCACTGGTCTATCTTCATCAGCAACATCATAAAAGCCTGGAGGAGGCTTTTTCTCAAAGGGAATTTCCGCATTGTAGTCTATTCCCTTCCTTTTCCTCTTTCGCTGCCTAGTATCAATGCCAGCAGCCTTTAATTCTCTCCTTTTCTGCAGCGAAGCAAGCCTTCTGGCCTCTTCAAGCTGTTTCTCCCTGGCTTTCCTTTTAGCCTTCTTTCCCCTAGTGTTTGCTAACCGAGCTCGCGCCTCTGAAAGCATCTCCTTCTCATCCTCATCCATATCAACAGGATCAGGACGAGCAGGTTTCGACTCGGGATTTGGGTCAATCTCTCCAGGCCGCAACTTCCGTGGATCATCACCCGGTTCATAATTCTCATCCTTAACACAAGCTGCATCAAGCAGTTTCTCATACCGCTCGAGGCACTGCGACGGAGTACGACCAACAATCGGGGCAATGGTTCTCCATTGTGTAGGCATGAGCTTAGCAAGATGTAGAAGCTTCTCATCCTCTTCTCTAGTCCACTCAGTCTGCAAGAATCGGGATTATTGAATCAGCATTACAAACTCACCCAACTAAAATCCCAGCTAAAAATTTCCTAGAACATCAAAATTTCATAACTTTCTCCCACCTCAGTGCAAATCAAATATTTGAACCACCGAGACGAATGCCAGTATAACCAAACATTATAAACCCTAATCGAAATCGGTTTCCACAATCGACACACAAAACCTAAAAGCTCAAGTTGCAATCTTTCACCATCTAACATTCAAAACAGAACATAAATCACAATAATGCACAAAATTTATCAGAAAATAAAGCAAAAGATTACCTTTTTGATGGAGGGGTCGAGCCACTCGTACCATCTCGCCTTACACTGTTTAGCCGATTTGCGAACCAAGAGCGACGAGATTCGAGCCCACTGGTTCTTCCCATACTTCATGACCGCCGCCTTGAGGATCTCATCCTCCGTGTTCTTCCACACACCTCCTTTGATCATAATCCTCATCTTGCCCTACTTTTCTTCGATTCAAACCCTAATAATTGACGATTGGTACCCAAACCCTAGGGTTTTTCGACTGGGACGCAACGGAGAAGATAATCGGAGAATCCCCCGGGGGTTTAAGAATCAGTGACTTCTGGATTTGATAAAACCCTAGCGCGCGGGCACATCCCTCTCTCTCTCTCTCTCCTCTCTCTGTGTGATATTTCAGCTCTCTATAATTTGAGCAGTGGATAAAAACAGAAGATCTGCAAAAAAATAAAAAAAAATAAAAAAAATTAGTAATCGTTTTGGAGGAGGGAAGAGGAATTACAATTAAGAAATAGCAAGTGGAGGAAATAGGAATTTAAGGGCTTGATATATGGACCAGCCCAAACTATTTGATCTTGGATGGTAGCACTATTTTGAGAATGTTAATTAAACGGTTAAAGGATTTGTGAATTTTAACGAAAAGCTCTCGGTAATATTCATTTTAACGAAAAATTATATTTTTACACTGAAAAGTCAATTCTGATACTATTCACTATATCCTTTATTTTGTCCTTATCTTTAAATTTAGGGGTATGATATCCACACACCCTTTTTACTTCTCTCACACCTTTTTGGTTTTTGACCTTCGGATTTGATGAATTGAAGAAGATCAACGGACAAAAATTAACAAAGGATGTGTGAAAAGTAAAAATTGGTGTGTGGATAGCACATCTCTAAATTTAAAATTTAATTCATTTTCATTAGTTTTTCTAATATGATTTGATATAATTTTTTAAGGATGAACATGAAAGTAAACAGTTGTGATCATCACGTAATATTGCAGTATGAGAAGATAGGTTGAAAATGTAAATGAGAAAACCCAACTAAGAAAGCTAATAGCATCTCTCGATCGTATAAAAGAGGCATGATAATCATTTTAGGATGGTGTTATCCACACACTTCTTTTTATCTTCCATACACTCCTCTCAATTTTTAGTTTTCGGATCGAATGAATTGAAGATGATCAAATGACATAAATTAACATGGAATGTGTGAAAAGTAAAGGGAGATATCTGGATAGCACCACCCATCATTTTATACCTTCTTTGCCTATTCCAAGAAGGTTTTTCTTTAGTTATAGATGTAAACATGGAGAAATTTTTAGGGGTACGGGCACTTGTATTAGGTGGTGTTCCCACCAGTGAGAATTTGATACTTAGATATTCTTTTCTTTCTTCTTAATTAACTAAATTTAGGTGTTAAATTCTCATAGGTAAGGAACACCACCTGACACAAGTGCCAGGAACACATAAAAATTTCTCATAAACATGGAAGCTAGAGAATAGACAATGAATAACATAACAAGGCTCAAACTGAAAATCCTGAACAATATGAGATATAAAAAGAATTAGTCCAAGTAGATAGGCAATCACATTATCACGACAATATGAATTAAGAACATCACGTAACAGTGATAGTAAAGGACCTCTCTGTCCATTGCACTAAAGGAAAGATTACCTTCATGGTCACTGTTATCTTTATTGTATACTGAATTCTCATTCACATATTTGTTACAATACTAACCATTTAACTCGAACATTTCAAAAAGTTGATCTCCAAAAACAAAAACAAAAAAAAAAAAAAAACTCGAACCGTTCAACTGAAACCAAAATTCCGTAGTCTTCTGCTACTCTAACTTTGGTATACATCTCCATCATGCAGTACTAAATTTTCAAGGCTCTCCTGCCTTCATAAAGAGGTACCTTTGGGATATGTGATTCAGGATTCTACTAGGTTGTTCATGTTGAAGTTCTCGTGATTCACTTAACATGTAAAGACTTCTCCGCCTGAAAGAAAGATTTTCTTGATCTCTTCTTTATTGTATATTGAAGTTCTAATTCATGATAAATTTTTTATTGTGACCGGAACACGAGTGGTACACTACATGTTTTTATATAAGTGGTGATAAATTTTTTTTTTAAGTTATTAACTTTTTAACACACATATCTCACAATTTGTATAATGATACGTGGTGTACTACCTTGTGTTCCGGTTACACTGAAAAATCTCTCCTCGTTCATATATGTTACAATGTTAACCAATTAACGCAACCTCTCAAAATTGAAAACAGGAATTCAAACTCTTCTGTATGCCCTTCTCTAATTATGCTACATCTCCATCATGCAGTACTACTCTTTGGAGCCTCTCCTGCTTTCATAAAGAGGTTGTACCAAAAATCTATGTCCTCAATACTGGTCTTGGAACCATCATTGTTCGGGATTGGTACGGCAGGGTTGGAAGAGGAAGGAGGCTCATGAATTAACCCCGGAACTGGAAAAGTACTTTTTGACGAGAAGTGCTTCTGCTGATCATAATCATCAAGTCTAAAATACGTTCTTGATCTCTTCTTCAAGTGAGAGTGCCAGAAGTTCTTTATTTCGTTGTCTGTCCTGCCTGGCAAGCTCGACGCAATGGCAGACCATCTGGAGACAGTAATATAACAACATCAATCAATTAATATTTTGGTCATATTTAAGCATATAAATCAATTTTCGTTCAGCAAAGTATATATTTACATTTATAGGAGATTTAGGAGTTCTTCCATCTCAGAGTACATATAGCCAGCAAATTAATCATACGTCCTATTTTGTGAATCCTAGTATGATGATCAGTTAACTAGTCCATGCATACACAAAGAAATTTGCGTGTGTGTGTGTGTGTGTGTGTGTGTGAGAGAGAGAGAGAGAGAGAGAGAGAGTGATGAGGATGAGCAGCTGAGAGCTAAAGTAGCCTTGATTTTTAATTTAACTTCCCAACTTAGCCTAATACACTGAACCGGGAGAAGACTTAATTACATGGAACAAGTTCATTATCACCATGGCATCCCGGCCCAATCTATTTATAAGTTTTCTAAAATAAGGCAAGGTAGCAATGAACCCGTCTCTCTCCTAAACTGAAGTAGGTAGGCTAGCTACAGGAAAATAAATTGGACAACATATAATATATAGGGTTTTGATGAATAGGTTGTGAGATGAGTAATTAGTTGACTGGAAGTAGGAAACAGAAAATAGTAAACCAGAGAAGATCAGTTCCTGTTTCCAAGAAGTTTATGCAGGTTGAGGATAGTTTCTTCTTCTTCCCTGCTAAAGTTCCCCCGTTTAATGTCCGGCCGCAAGTAGTTAAACCACCGAAGCCTGCAACTCTTTCCACACCTCAATAGACCTATAAAGCAAATAATTAATTAGATACTACAATCCATGCATAACAAAGTTCATAGTCTATATGTACGAGCCGCAATTCTTAGCAGGGATATGATCTCGTTTCACTGTATTTGACTCACCAGCTTGTTTTGGAAGCGCTCTCCAATTCGCATGTCCATATTTTTGGATGTAAGAAATCAATATCTCATCTTCTTCATGCGTCCACGGTCCCTTCTTCATTCCCATCTTCTCACAACAAGGTGAAGGAGCTGGAGCCCTCACCATTTTTCTCCCCTAGTTAACTAGGTAGCTAACTCAGACATGCACTACCCCTCTCTCTCTCTCTCTCTCTCTCTCTCTCTCTCTCTCTCTCTCCCTCTCTTTTTCTCCCCAAGTTAACTAGGTAGCTAACTCAGACATGCACTACCCTCCCTCTCTCTCTCTCTCTCTCTCTCTAGATGCGCATGGGCAATGGATCGTTGATCACTAAGGGGATGGACTACTGGGGTACTTCAAACCCTAACTTTTATGGTTGAACAAAAGCAGATAAATTAAGAATCCATTTCAGACATGTGCTTTTGTTCGGCTCTATAGTATATCCTTCTCGGTTAGAAACTTAGAAGAACACTTTCGGTGCCGAATGGTCAAATATACCGTGCGCCACTAGAGAAGTAGAAAGCTGCCAAATTGATATCAAATACATATTATTCCAAGCCGCCCTGCTATAAAAAAAAAAACTATGTCTAATTGTCTATTGGAGAGAAAAACATGCATGTTTTTTTATGCAATATGCATTGTACATTTCATACATAATTATATAGTAAAACTCTAATTAGATTCATTACTCTATTATCTTGTGAGTATTAATACATAAGAAATATTGCCAATGTGCTATATATTAACTGCATGCACTTTGTATAGTTGAAGGAAAAAATTTATAAGATGACAAAAGGCCAGCGATATATTTTATGGCACAGAATGTTGGGAGGTCAATCATCAACACGTGCAAAATATGTGTATAGCAAAGATAAGAATGCTTTGTTGGATGTATGGATACACAAGAAATGACATGATTAAGACGAGGATGATAAGATGAGAGAAAATCGGTTAAGGTGGTTTAGATATGAATGGAAAACCTATAGATGCTCCGGTTAGAAGATACGATTACGAGACAAACTTAGAAAGAGACTCTAAGAAAAGACATGGAGTTCTTAGAGCTAACAGAAGACTTGATGCAAAACCAAATGAAATGGCATTCTAGAATTGATATAACTAACCTCACTTGGTGAAATAAGACTTTCTTGTTATTGTATGCATTTTGCATATACTTATATTGTCCATCTGTGAATTTAGATTCAACACTTTAAATTCTAATCAATAGTCCAAGTTCAGGATTGGTTCATAACCATTTTGTGCTGATGGAATCGTGCACTGTCCTCTCTTTTTGCGGAGAATTGAAGTCAACAATCGCGCATGCACCATTGAGTTGAACATAATCAATTAATTTCTAAAAGAAGCTTAAATTAATTCTTCAAAGTTAATCCATCAGTCTTCAGACGAAGTACTCATTTTTATCACACCTGCTTAAGTAATCATAATACAGATCTTGACTATGTTTGGTGCAAGATCTCTCTAATTGCACTTTGTTAAGAAAGTCTAGCCACCTAAGTGAGACTGACTTTTCATACATACACGTCAAATTAGCAATTTTATTTCCATGTCCAATCCCTCATGCGTGATCGACTTTGAAAAAAAAAATGTTGGAATAATTAGGGTCTAATTGCTATATTAAATCACATAGAAAATTAAGAAATAATTCATGCAATTATATAACAAAGTAATGCATGCACATGAGTAACCAATATTAAATGAACATGACATAATGGATTAAAAAATCTGAAAATACGGTTGAGGCAAGTGTTGGACACTTTGTTCTTAAGACAAGTTTACACCCCACTACGGTGCTCATGGTTGATCGGCGCTTGTCTCCCAAGATACAACAACCACGTCCTTGTAATAGTAGCACTCCAAATCACAAGGCTCCATGAACCACGATTGTGTTGATAACTCTCATATAGACATAATGAGACTCTCTAATATTTAGTGCACTATGATTATGTAAAACAATGAACAATTATTTTTGTTTATAGGGGTTTCCCTATTTATAGAATTTGAGATACTTCTTTGGAAATCATGTGATTATTCATGAAGAGTTAAAAGTTGCAACTTTTCATTTGAAGAGAGACATCTTTCTACCAAAAAAAATTCCACTTCTAATTTCCATTCAATTAATAAGTTTAATATACAATAATATTATTATTAAATTTTCCAACATAAAAACCTCCAAATTTCACAAATTAGAAAAACAAGTCTCCAATGTTCGAAGGAAACTTATATAAAGATGTCACTTCAATTGTATCCGAGTGAGTTATAAACTGTTGTGCACTTGAACTTTGGACTAGGATTCTCTCCCCTCCTCTTTCCATCCCTTTCTCTCACATTCTTTATTTTGTCTTTCTCTTTCTATAAAAAATTAATATAAAATGTTGACGTGGCTTAACCGTGACCATTCAACTAGGAGAAAAGGGAAAAGGAGAAGAAAAAAAGAGGGGAGAGAATCATACTCCTTGAACTTTTCTCACAACTTGTATGATTGATTTAAGATAATCATATGAATTTCTTAAAACGTAAGTCGTTTGTTTGATCGCACGGTGTAAGTCATTCTCACAATACTACATGTGAGTGAGTGAGATATTTAAGTGTAACCATTTCTGAATCACATAAACTGGAATTCAATAGACCCACATCAACTTACTGTGAAAGGAATAACATAAACTAGACCAGTTTTGAACGATATGTAGCTCAAGTGCTACAGTAATGCTAGATTGGACATCGACAGACCTACATAAGTAAAGGCCCAAAGGACGCCGACGAATCCCATTTTTCACATCAAGAAAACTTTCCAATATTATGAAGTCCAGGTAAAATTTGGTTTAGCACCACCATTTAGTGCTATTTAAAGGCAGATCCATTAGAAAAGCAGTTGGGTCCCGAACCCCTATAGAATAGAAGAAGAAAATGGCTTGGAAGGTTCTATGGGGACCTTGTGGCAGTCTAGTTCGAGACCCGATAATGACCACGAAGTATGCGATGTAATGTTTGTTCGGAAGATGTTGGTAGGGCTCGACATGTGACGATCGACAACATGGCTCGGCAGATGCTGACAAGTATCGGCAACGTGGTTCACCATATGTCGAAAGGGTGACCAAGTGCTCAACAAAACCCTTCACTTACATAATTCGGCATAAATCAACTGAACTTGACAAAAATTGTGCCTACAAAAAATATAAACTTTTACTCAAGAACCCAGGAGGTATGATTCTTGAGTTAGCAACGGATGAAAAATTTAATGTTCGATTCACATCAATAGCGTGTTGGGTTACCAACTCAATTGTCATGTTCAACTCTCGTTCAATATCACCATGTGATTACCTTTTAAAGCGTATTTGTGTCAAACCGATATTGACATATATTTTACGAAATAACTAAAATGATTTACCATGAACAAACTACAAGATCATTTCTATCGATTTTCAATGTCATGGACTAAAATAAGAAATAATACAAACCTCAAAAAAAAAAAAAAAAAAAAAAAAAAACCTTATCTTAAAGCATATTGTTTCACATATGCTAGTGATGATAATTGATGTCAACTTCGTATGGATTCCACATACATATCACCTAACAATTTCAATTACTAAAAGAACAATAATCGACTAATTCATTATTTTAAGATGTCATTTATCAATGGAGTTTTCCCCAAAAGGAATAACTTATGAGCCAAATTGCTTGCATGTATCTTGTTTGTGCTTATAACCCAACTCACCAAGCAGAGTTTTTTAGTGTGCATGGAACATGGGCAGACGTCATGTGTTATTATACAAGTAAACGAATATGTAAAAAAAAATTCTTCTACTTGTATAATAACATATAACGTACCGTCCCATGTTATGAACACATTAAAAAATCTCTCATCGTCAACTTCATCCAACTGTCAGACGGTTGATGAAAATATAAATCCATCATTAACAACAAACCAAATTACATATAATAATACAAAGTTGAACTATAAATTCGGCTCACCAAATCATGTAAAAGAAGCATGCTGTGCTTACATCAGAATCTAAATAATTGATCTAGCTAAATTAATCAGTAGGTAACGTGAAGCATTTTTAAAAGATTAAAATAATGATAACCTCGGATTAGTGATTAACATAAAATAATGACATGTTTAAAGTGATGCATGACGACAAGATATTCAATTTTGCATGCTATGCTTATTTATAGGGAACCTTGTATCCCAATAAATGAAGGAACAATGGCCAGGAAAAACAATAACGGCATCATACAAATTGAAATGATAATAAGTAGATGTGAACAGTGTGTACGTCTCTTTACACTCAATGAAATTCCACAAAATTTATAACATTTTGAATACAGTTAGATTTGCATGCGCTTGCTTCATGTTCATTAAAATTCTAATTAACTACACATGAATTTACATGGTCTCTTAGAATGTCTTATAAAATCGTAATTGCAATAACAAAATTTTAATCTTTTAAAATCCTAATTTGACCACGCTCATAAGTAGAGGTGGCAAATTAACTCATTGGATTGTTAATGGGTACCCATTAAGACTCATTTAGTTTGATTTCATCCTACACCATCATCATCACCACTACCAATCTCACTTCTATGTTATGGTGATATCAAATTAAACAGGTTTTAACATGTACTCATTAATAACCTAATAAGTTAATTTACCACCTCTACCCGTAAGTAACTCTAAGAATCATATATCAAAACATTTTCTCTTTATACTTTCCCTTAAACATATCTCCATTATGCTGCTCAACATCTTTAAAGATACACTTTTAACCTTTATTTAGTTTGTTGTTAAAAAAAAAAAAATCAATAACTTTGGGTGATCAATATTGGAAGCAATATTAAGGTAAAATGGAACAAAAGAAGATTGGGGTTTTGGAAAAGTTGACATGGTGGAGGCTTCTCCAATAATTATAAAGTGCATATTCCTCCCACTTTGACACCTTTGCTAGTTTATTCATTAACGTCACTTCACTAAACTCAATTCACTCGTTGTCACAGGAAGAATTAAAGGGGTACAATTTCACAAATTTATGTATTAAGTATGATCAGGAGGATTCTCGTCGGATTCTCTTTGTAAGGATCTTGGAGATCCTTTAATTATATCCGTTCATCGTACATTATGCGTTAGAAATCATTGTAAATTTTTATTTAAAAATGAATATAAATATTATTTGACAAAAACTGGTCGCACGATGTACAATGAACGGATGTGATTGGAGGATCCCCAGGATCCTCACAAAGAGGACCCGGCGAGGAACCTCTCTCTTAAGTATGAAGCGTATTTTGATGTTTTGAAACAAGTGATATTCTATAATCACTACGGAGTGGCTCAGTAGTTGGGGACAAATTTCAGACCCATATTTCGCATTGCACGTCCTAGGTTCAATTTCTGGCTCTCATGAATAACAAGATAGTGGCCAGGGGAAG